ACACACGCACACATACACACAGAGGTGAATCGCTATATGCCACCGCATCGCAGATGCTGCGGTGGCATAAAAATATACTTGTTCTATCAGGCGTTTTCTGTACTAACGCAGGACAAAGTAAGCCAATGATGTCTGGTAGTGTCCTCAGTTGATCTTTGGTAAGGGTCCCATTTCAGGCAATGAAGGGAACTCCATCAAATATTGCTGGCAACATCTTAAGTTTTTTGTAAGCTGTCCTGAACTGCGCTTCCCTAAAATTGATTACATTTTAGATATGATAATGGTGTAACAGAATGATAGTCGAAATCAACTATGTTGTGAAAACATTAACTTTATTAAAAGTTGTTTTTGTTGTGTATTATACATTTGTGTGTCAAGGGCCTGTGGCCACATTAAATTTTTTCAAATTAACTTTGGTTCTATATATAAAAAGATTTTAATTCTGCTTGTTTAAATTTAATATTTAAAATACTTAAAACGTCTAAACTTTTCATATTGACTAATATGCATTTTATTATACACTTGATTTTTTCGAAAACCTAGCTAAACACCGTTTTTTTCCGGTACGTTACGGATTTAGCTCCGGGGAATTACACCAAATGAGTTACATGATATTTTTATTTTTCATTAGGTGAAAAAGATGATGTCTTTGAAAGTTATCAATTATGATAGTCCTTTAAAAACTATAATTGCAAATTTTTCAAAAAATAAATAATAAAATTGTTTGTACCGAGTTAATTATACGAGTTAATTATACAATGATATTTAATCATTTCCTTGCAAAAAATATAAGTTTTCTTTCACTTTAATTTAAAACAAGAGGGCTATGATGGCCCTGGATCGCAAGCCTGACACAACCGCATCCAAGCAATGTCTTAAACAAGCATCATGACCAAGTTTGGTGCGACTGAGTCAAACATGTGACCTCTAGTGTGTTATAAAGATTTTTCCATGTTTGGGCAATGTGACCTAATTTTTGACCCGACACGACCCATATTCAAACTTGACCTAGAAATCATCAAAACAACTTTCCTGACCAATTTCCAGGAAATTTGGATCAAAACTGCAGCCACTAGAGTGTAAACAAGCTTTTTCTATTTTTAGCTCCTGTGACCTAGTTTTTGACCGGACATGACCCATCTTCGAACTTGACCTAGAAATCATCAAAACAACCTTTCTGACAAATTTCCAGAATGTTTGGATGAAAACTGCAACCATTAGAGTGTTAACAAGCTTTTTCTATTTTTAGCTCCTGTGACCTAGTTTTTGACCAGACATGACCCATCTTCGAACTTGACCTAGAAATGATTAAAACAACCTTCCTGACAAATTTCCAGAATATTTTAATCAAAACTGCAGCCACTAGAGTGTTAACAAGCTTTTTCTATTTTTAGCTCCTGTGACCTAGTTTTTGACCGGAGATAACCCATCTTCAAACTTGACCTAAAAATCATCAAAACAACCTTCCTGACAAATTTCCAAAATATTTGGATGAAAACTGCAGCCCCTAGAGTGTTAACAAGCTTTTTCTATTTTTAGCACCTGTGACCTAGTTTTTGACCGGACATGACCCATCTTCGAACTTGATTTAGATATCATCAAAACAACATTCTTGACAAATTTCCAGAATATTTAGATGAAAACTGCAGCCACTAGAGTGTTAACAAGCTTTTTCTATTTTTAGCTCCTGTGACCTAGTTTTTGACCGGACATGACCCATCTTCCAACTTGGCCTAGATATCATCAAAACAACCTTCCTGACAAATTTCCAGAATATTTGGATGAAAACTGCAGCCACTAGAGTGTTACCAAGCTTTTTCTATTTTTAGCTCCTGTGACCTAGTTTTTGACCGGAGATGACCCATCTTCAATCTTGACCTAGATATCATCAAAACAACCTTCCTGACAAATTTCCAAAATATTTGGATGAAAACTGCAGCCACTAGAGTGTTAACAAGCTTTTTCTATTTTTAGCTCCTGTGACCTAGTTTTTGACCGGACATGATCCATCTTCAAACTTGACCTAGATATCATCAAAACAACTTTCCTGACAAATTTCCAGAATATTTGGATGAAAACTGCCACCACTAGAGTGTTAATAAGCTTTTTCTATTTTTAGCTCCTGTGACCTAGTTTTTGACCGGAGATGACCCATCTTCGAACTTGACTTAGATATCATCAAAACAACCTTCCTGACAAATTTCCAGAATATTTGGATGAAAACTGCAGCCTCTAGAGTGTTAACAAGCTTTTTCTATTTTTAGCTCCTGTGACCTAGTTTTTGACCCGAGATAACCCATCTTCGAACTGGATCTGTATTTCATTGAGACAAACATTCTGACAAAGTTTGATGATGATCCAATCAAAACTGTGACTGCTAGACTGTTAACAACCCAATTGTTGACGACGCACGACGACGGACGCCGGACATAGCCCCATCACTATACCTCACCTTGACCACTTCGTGGTCAGGTGAGCTAAAAAGGCCAAAAACATAAGAGTTCGTTATTACACTCCATTAGGTGAATTCCACAGAGCTTAGTCGAAAAACATCTTTTAGCTAGGTTTACGAATTTGTGAATGACAAGCATTACTTAAATAAATAAGAAATTTGTCAAATTTTGAATTGTTTGTAAATAAAAATCAATATCAAGGTATATATGTACTTCTACCACTACCATCCTCTGGCCAGTTACTAAATTGGTGCAAAGATTCACTCAAACTTTGTTACAGACTTACAGTGTACTAAATAGACCTCTTAAAATATAATCATAATTCAACACTATTTCACTGGAACCTTGACAATTGGACTTGAACAGTGCATTATTTTCTACTTTTCATCTATAGCCCCTTTACATTAGGATTAGGGCTGTGGACAGTGAAGCTTTATTAGGGCTGTGAACAGTGTCGCTTTATTATACATGCAGTACTTTTCTTACTTTACTTTGACATCACAAGGTCAGTAATCAGTGACTCTTGGCACGGAAGTGTCACATTGAAGGTTCCATGATAACCGCCGTATGAACACATCTGCGGATGTTTCTAAATTCAAAATATAACTATTTCATGTTTAAATGTTGAATTCTGCTTAAGCCGGTGCTAGGGGGCGTGGACGGTAGTTTGCACTTGACAGTACCGTTCATGAACAGGCTCAATCAAACCGAGCCTGCAACATTTTCAATTTTGCCGTGTTGGGCTTTCTTTACGGATTCTGTATTTATCTATTTCTTGAGTATATTATCAAACTTGCAGCCCTTGCCAGGATTTGAACCTGGGGTTCTTTCAATAAAATGGACAGCGTTCTTTCCTTGAACTACAATGGTTATGACAGGTTGAAATACTTTCATTACTATCTGAAAATTGGCAAAATTCCTTTTAAAAATAATATACCTAGAGGATAATGAGTACTGAGGTTTTTTATTCACCAATTAAGTTAATGATGAACAAATGGAATTACTCATTTTACGAGTCATTTAAGTCATAGTATTAATCATGTCAGCTTGCAAATACACTGGTAATGGTTAAAATATGAAAAACAAGATCAACAAGGAAAGGCGGCGTTCAATGAACACAATAATAATGTTTAACTCATGAAAAAAATACTTTTAAATTGAAAAAAAAAACAAACAAGAACATCATGCAGGTTTCAGGTATAGTATAATTAATGCATTTACCATTCCTCAAAAATGTGACATTCATCATTCGTCACTGCTACCACTGCATCTATGAAAATCTGGAAACAAAGTGATCCCTCTGAAGCATTAATCACAACAAAATTACAAGAGAATTGCAGACTCGATTTGATTGAGTCTGTACATGAGGGATAATGAATACGTGCAACATCCCTCACGCCTTATAGCACCGGCTTGAGCGGTACTCAATTCTCAACACTTAATAGTGCTGGCATCAATGATCCCGAAGGACCAGAAAAATATAACAAAATAGATAAATACAGAAACCCTAAAGAAAGCCCAACACGGCAAAATTGAAAATGTTGCAGGCTCGGTTTGATTGAGCCTGTTCATGGACGGTACTGGAAAGTGCAAATATTACCGTCCACGCCCCCTAGCACCGGCTTAAGCAGAATTCAACATTTAAACGTGAAATAGTAAAATTTGAAATTTAGAAACATCCGCAGATGTGTTCATACGGCGGTTATCATGGAACCTTCAATGTGACACTTCCGTGCCATTCCATGAAAAGCGGCGTATGGTCCCCAAGTTATGAAAAGCGTGTGCCCTAAACGAGAAAACAATGGGCGGAACTAAGTAAAATGGAATTTTGAAAGGGGATCAGAGGTTATGAAGCCTGCGTATCACAGATAAGACGTCAAAAGACAAATTTAAAAAGCAGGCAACATATCCTAAGGGTGATTCAATATTATTCAAGTAGGAATATTGGAACCACCCATATAGAAAATGCCGAAAAGTTGAAACTAAAAATACCACAAGCACAACAATAATGCGTGCTGAACGATCTTCAAGGATCGAAAATATAACATCATTGATTAAGGCCTCTGGATGTGCAAATATGACTGAATTATCAATAGAGTGAAATAAGAATCTCTAAAGAAAGCCCAACGCGGCAAAATTGAAAATGTTGCAGGCTCGGTTTGATTGAGCCTGTTCATGGACGGTGCTGTCAAGTGCAAACTACCGTCCACGCCCCCTAGCATCGGCTATCAACATTTAACATGTACTGGTAAAATTTAGAATTTTGAAACATCCGCAGATGTGTTCATATGGCGGTTATCATGGAACCTTCAATGTGACACGTTAGTGCCATTCCATGAAAAGCAAGTAAAACAATGCGTGGCAGTGCCCTACACGAGAAAACAATGGGAAGAACTAAATAAAATGGAAATCGAGAAATTTTGACAAAACCAGGTCAACCTCTGGTTGCTTATTACTGTATGGTAACCTACCTGCTGTCACACCACGAGATCCTAAAATACTTTACTGCTCCTCCTGTATTCTATTTAAGCCGGAAAAGACCAATACAACATTCTTTGTTAGCCCTTTCTGCTTCATGATGCCTGGCAACAACTGGTAAACAGGTGCTAGGGGGCTTGAGGGCTGTTGCACTTATTCTGTATCCGTCATGTACAGACTCAGTCATACCGAGTCTGCAATTATTTTGTAATTTTGTTGTGATTATTGCTTCCGAGGGATCACTTTGTTTCCAGATTTTTATACTTCACAACAGCAGGTGTCAAGTGTTGTGTGGCAGCTGTGGCACCTTTCACCCTTATGTCCACTCCAGGTTTTTGTTTGGTGCCTTCTGGGTGCCCTACTTAAGTATGTCGGGGGCCGCGTCCTGTGAACGTTGCCTTTGCCTTGTTGATCTTAATTCTAATTCTTGTTGTTCTTGTTTTTTTTTAGAATTGAATACGGTATTATACCGCTCAAGCCGGTACTAGGGGGGCGTGAGGGATGTTGCACTTATTCAGTATCCTTCATGTACAGACTCAATCATACAGAGTCTGGAATTCTTATGTAACTTTGTTGTAACTTTGTTATGATTAATGCTTCCGAGGGATCACTTTGTTTCCAGATTTTTCCCTAGGTTTTTCGAGTGTCGGGGGCCGCGTCCTGTGAAAGTTGCCTTTGCCTTGTTGATCTTAATTCTTGTTTTTATTTTCATAACCTCAGATCCCCTTTCAAAATTCCATTTTATTTAGTTCCGCCCATTGTTTTCTTGTTTAGGGCAAAAGCATTCTTTTACTTGGGGACCATACGCCGCTTTTCATGGAATGGCACTTCTTTGTCACATTGAAGGTTCCATGATAACCGCCGTATGAACACATCTGCGGATGTTTCTAAATTCGTTTTTGCGTTAATTGTTGAATTCTGCTTAAAATATGAAAAACAAGATCTTGTGGGAAAGCGGCGTTCAATGAACGCAACCCCCATTGACCCAGCAACAAGAACCAGCGGCAAGGAGCCCAGGCGGACCCCAAACAAAATCAGGACAGGGCAAGACAGAGCACGGACAGGTTAATCACTAAATGATAAATAATTTAAATAATTTTAAGCCAGTGCTAGGGGGCGTGGACGGTAACTTGTACTTTCCAGTACCGTCCATGAAAACATATGATAAACAAGATCAACAAGGAAAGGCGGCGTTCAATGAACGCAACCGAGCAAACCTGTTGCAAACCGAGCCTGCAACATTTACAATTTTGTTGTGTTGGACTTTCTTTAGGGATTCTGTACAATTACATCCTTACCACATATAATATATTCAAAACACTTGATTTGTTTACACTTTAAAACAAGTGTCGGATCAAAATCTGTTGCGTAATCGTTCAGTAATTGTCTTAACTTCAGCCATTATTTACTACACCTACGGTGTCAAAGTGAAAATATCTTTCGTTATGTTTACAAAAAAAGTTATACGTATATTTTTTACTTTCTTGTACATTAAGCATAACAATTTAATGAAAGAAAACTCAAATGATATAAAGTATTCTACTTTAAAATTAAAAGTGAAGAAAATATATTCGGCATATATATATATATATATATATATATATATATATATATATATATATATATATATATTGTTTATTTAAGTTTCGGCTGAAGATATGCGAAGAAAGCATTGAAAGCGCTACCGAATTTACCTTGAGTTTGTTATTTCTTAAACATTATAATTTTATCTATATATATATATATATATATATATATATATATATATACATGTATATATAAAATCATATCCTAACAGACCCCGTATATATATAAAATCATATCCTAACAGACCCCGCTATCTTTCACTTGGAAAGTTTAAGCAGTGATATGATGTTAAGAGCTTGAAAATCGAAAATCGGTAGGCTTGGAATAATAATTCGTTAACTGAGTCAGATAACAATACTTGTTCTTTTTGTAAAATTATGTAAAATGCGTAATAGGGGAAGGAAAGATATTGCATCATTCCTCATGTTAACTTCTGATATAAGAGGAATCGGTTTTTCCCTTTTTTTTCTTTGGAGAATTTCCCACACATTCATGTGGTCATACAAGCTTCTTTCAAGACTCGGCACGCTGTCCTAATATTAATGTGTTAACGATTAATATTTGACTTACACATTAATATTGGACACCTACCTGTACTGTATTAAAAATACAGTACGGTCAGAACAAAGAAATGACGTCATAGTAGTAATTTAATGGATTTGAAACCTGATCACATTGTTAAAAAACAAGAATGAAGATCATCAAGGCAAAGGCAACGTTCACAGGAGGCAGCCCCCTGACACCCCAAATTGGGCACCCAGAAGGCACCAAACCAAAATCTGGAGTGGATATAAGGGTGGCGAAAGGAGAGGGACATGTAATTATGTAATAATATCAACTTGTAAACCGTAATTATCAGAAACAATGTCATCTAGCAAAAGTTGGTTTTGTTGATCTTTTTTATCCAGCTGAAAACCTTAACTTATTTTGAAAAATGTTAAAGGAACAGTCAATGTATACCTTTGCAATAAGTTTTTTTTTAAAACAGTATGTGATCTTTATGCCAATAAGTGTGAAAATAAAACAAAGTTTCATAGGAACTCCTAAGTAATTGTTCAGATTTTAATATTTTTATGATAAATAGATATACTAATAATTGATTAAGTTTGTGACAAAATCTTATCGCAGAAAAATCGTTGGTTGCCTATGTCTTTGAACCTGCAACATTTTACAATTTTGGCGAGTTGGGCTTTCTTTACGGATACTGTTTTTCTCTATTTTGAGGTTTTGCAATGTGAGACATTAAGTTTTTCTAGATGTGGCAATTTGCACGCGAAAATTGGACTGTCTGAAATATCTAACCAGTATGCTTATGTATAGTGACTGAATAACTAAAACCAATGGTAAAGTTTAAATGTTGAACAAGATTAATATTCCTTGAATTAAAAATAGTTTAAGCCAACGAGCATGTTGGAAAATATTGTTGATGCTTCTGTCGTTCGTGCTAAATGGAAAAGAAAATTCAAAATTTCTCATAAAAGGCAAACTTTCTATGTGAGCCTTTACATGTTAATGTAAAAAGTTCCAATGGTAGAAATCTCAAAATTTACACTAGTATATGCTTTAGCATCTGCATCTAATGAAACACACTAATCTCTGAAACATGTACAATTGAAGTATTTGATAGTAAAACAACAGTTGATTATGTAGTAGACAGTACATGTAAACAAGAAACTGCAACTTTCTCCGAAGTTCAATCATCCGAATATATCTAAAGTTCAAAAGTTCTATTTTATATAATTCATAACGACTTTTTTTTATGATACCGTATTTAATACTTTCTGACAACTCAAATACGTGATTCAAAACATATTTTAGAATATGTACATTAACTTGCACTTTCCATTACCGTCCATGAACAGGCTCAATTAAACCGAGCCTGCAACTCTTGGGCTTTCTTTAGGGATTGTTGTTTCACTCTATTATACAATACTGTCGTCAATTGATTGTAGGGTTTCTTAATCGGACAAAAATTATTATCGATCATCGAGAATAATCGACCAACCCTATTCGATCAATCATCGATAATATAATCGAAACATTTACAATATTAAAGTAAATATGTACAATGTAAATATCATGCTTTAACATTTATAAGAATTCCATTAATTTTCTATATTTAATGTAACCTGAAATAAACTAGGATATACTATGCTCATCATTGATTAAAACGTATCAAATAAATTCATTAAAATCTATTAAATTATTATAACTCAATTCCAATGAAGGAGTGAATAAACAATGTATAGGAACAAGTAAAGTTGGTCCTTTCTTAACAAAACTTGAAAATAAAATAGTCTAATGCAGAACTGTTTTCATTTTTAGGAAACAGAGTTTTGACGCAAACGTTTTCTTTCTTTCTTTTACTTTTTAGAGGATATGTCACATCTTTATTGTATCTAGAGAAAAATATTGATGATTTCACGTTGCCTCGGTCATAGTTGACAAAATAGTACGAGGTTTCCTGAACGCATCCTCTATTTTATTGATAAAAAACTGACAGACACCTTTTACAATATGCTAATTTACAATACCCCTTTTTCAAACATTATGGGTCTTTTCTACCACTTCTTAATTATGTAATGTCTATATTGTTCTTCAATTGAAGAAGACACATATTACTAGTTGTACAGTATTTGGTCATATCTCAGCGAGGTCGATCTACCGAGGTAACTAGCCAGTTACTGCCATTTTTACGCAAGAGAATTATATTAATAACCATATGATCTTTGAATCGGCAAAGAAAGATAAATGACCATTTGACTCAATATAATACAAACGTTAAATTCGTCATTAATTTTAAAACAGAATGGTAAACTTTTGTCATTTTTTTTATTTGTGCAAATAAAATGATAAAGTTTGATAGTGGTTCAGTAATAGATTTAACGATGGGTGAAATTTCTGAAACATTCTCAATATACACATAAGACTTTTGATTATAGTTTGTGGACCTTTCTGTTGAAAATATGTCAGTTAAATCCTATACATATACATGCTCAGTGCGTTAAGTTGAGAACAGGTATAAGCTATCCGCTATCCAGAGCATGTCTATTGATTGGTTCATATTTCGGTGATTTACTTATCGTGACAACAGAGAAAGAGATAGCGATAGAAATGTCATATGCAGATACTTGTTCATTGATATATTTTCTTCTGGTGTTTCATATTGCGATTTTTTGTTAGCCTTTGATACAAAAAGAAAGGAACATCAAAAAACTCGGCAATCTGTTTCTTACTAGGGGGCATTGCCCCCTCGTACAAATCAGATTGTCTCGTGTTTCGATGCTCTTTCTATTATTTAGCATTTTTTTTTAAATTTCTTGTTAGAGTTTCTAAAAGAGTAATAGGACATTGTCATTATGATTATTTGTCCTGTTAAAACATAACAAAGTTAAGGAAATATAGCTAAGAACAGAACTGCTGTTAAAAGAAACTTTTATGGAAAGGCAAATGGCATCGGTTTAAGAGCAGAATAGTCAAGAGAAAGCATGATATTGGATAGTTGTAGAAATTGTGTCATAATTTTGTCTTTACAAAGAGTTTTATTTATATCTTAATTTCGCGACTAAACTAAAGAGTTTATACATCATGATGGTATTT